TCCAGCCTTTCCTCTGCAACCATGCTCTAGTGGACTTGGAGGTATGCTTGGGATCATTGTCCTGTTGAAAGGTCCAACGTCTCCCAAGCCTCAGGTGTGTGACGGACTGCATCACGTTTCCATCCAATATCTCCTGGTACTGAAGAGAATTCATGGTACCTTGCACACGCTGAAGCTTCCCTGTACCTGCAGAAGCAAAACAGCCCCAAAGCATGATTGACCCTCCACCATGCTTCACAGTAGGCAAGGTGTTCTTTTCATCATAGGCCTTGTTCTTCCTCCTCCAAACATAGCGTTGATCCATGGGCCCAAACAGTTCTAATTTTGTTTCATCAGTCCACAGAACACTATCCCACAACTTTTGTGGTTTGTCCACATGGCTTTTGGCATACTGCAGTCGACTCTTCTTATTCTTTGGAGACAGCAAGGGGGTACGCCTGGGAGTTCTGGCACGGAGGCCTTCATTACGCAGTGTGCGTCTTATTGTCGGCTGAAACTTCTGTACCCACATCTGACAAATCTTTTCTCAGTTCCTCAGCAGTCACACGGGGACTTCTCTCCACTCTACGCTTCAGGTAGCGCACAGCAGTCGAAGTCAGCATCTTCTTTCTGCCACGACCAGGTAGCGTTTCAACAGTGCCCTTTGCCTTGAATTTGCGAATGATGCTTCCTAAGGTGTCTCTTGGTATGTTTAACATCTTTGCAATCTTCTTATAGCCATTGCCCTTCCTGTGAAGAGAAATCACCTCTTCTCTTGTCTTCCTGGACCATTCTCTTGCCTTCACCATGTTTGTAACCACACCAGTAAATGTCTAGAAGGAGCTGAGTATCACAGTCATTTTAAAGCTGCCTAATTGGTGCTTATTATGCTTGATTGCTGCTCGGTGACATCCACAGGTGTTTTCAATACCTGATGGAAAGCACCTGTATGAACCTCTGTTCTTCAGAGTGGTAGTCTTTAAGGGGTTGAATAATTGTGGCAATGAAGAAACCACATAAGAACCATTTACTACTGTATTACATAAACAATTGATGTCATTTTAGTTGCATTTGGGTAGTTACAACGTCCTTGTAGGATTTGATTCTGAATACAATTCCAAATGTACACTATAGTCCCTAAACCCCTTTACAGCATTGGGGGTTGAATAATTTTGGCCACAACTGTAAGTGCAAGGAGTCAGAGTGAATGAACTGTAAATACTCTATTCCAGCAAGGAAAATGCTTTCCTATGCCATGCATGTGTTTGCTAGGTGAAAATCCATCCCTGCCTATAATCATACTTTACACTTTCTGAAATAGAAAAGAAAACATTTTAGCACCAGAATCTTCAGGCATGAGCTTGTCAGACAGACAAGAAGAACACAAAATATTATGCAATAAAATCGTGTTGCAGACTACAGGAAAACACATATTCGAAAACACAAATATAATATCAAGATTTTCAGGTCTATTGCAGTGGAGCTGCCAATTTATTTTGTTGAAAAAAAATTGTGCTATACAACCTTATTCATTTTTAAAACTGTCAGATAAATGGAGAAAAAAACCCTACAGTAGGCGGTATATTCCCCCATCCCCTGCTTTCTGCAGGGTACATTTTAGATTTGATGTGGTGCTAATTGAAGCTGCCGTTGTATTGTCCTATGGTATTTTAATAAATTGGCTGAACCCCATGGTGTCACCTTGTACCTTTGTCTCTCTCATTCCCACTTCCTAAGTATCAGGGTTATTTTAATAAATGCACTTTCATTTGCACAATGGGAACAATCTTGCAAAAAGATATAGTTCCATTTCAAAACCTTTTTTCATGTGAACTTGTTGTTGCGCCTACCAATTTGAACAGCATTTCATCTACAATCAGAATGTTTTTCTTTTCAGCGTGTGTTGAAAAGGCGTAATTGGAAAGCTTTTAATGTATGTAGAGAAGAAGAAGAAAGACAAAGAGACAGCAAAATATAACAAGGATTTGGAACAGAGAGTAATTTGAGGGGGTGTAACTCATTCCTGCTGTGCTTTAGGCTGTTCTATGGTTCATGGAAATATGTTTAAGATCTATGATGTCACATGAATCGTGATTATGATTAACTACTGCACTAAATATATATAATTTTTTTTTTAACAAACAGTTCACAAAAGTCATTTACAGAAAATTCCTTTGAATATTTTTACAATATAACTTGGAAAGCTTTGTTTGATGGTGACCGTGATAGCTTGTCCATAGTTGCCGCGGTGCATTGTATTCCCGATCAACTGTTTTGGGCAGCACAGTGGCTAAATGGTTAGAACTTCCGCCTGGCAGTACTAAAGTTGTTGTTTCGAATCCCAACCATGGCACCTCCTGCCTGGCATTTGCATGTTCTCCCTGTACCTGCGTGGGTTTCCACCGGTTTTCTCCCACACTCCAAAGACATACTGGTAGGTTAATTGGATCCTGTCTAAATTGGCCCTAGTATGTGTATGTATGAATTTGAGTTAGGGACCTTAGATTGTACACCCCTTGAGGGTTAGGGACTGATGTGAATGTGCAATATATACGTAAAGCGCTGTGTAAATTGATGGCGCTCTATAAGTATCTGAAATAATAATAATAAAAACAAACAAACAAGCATATACAGTACACCTATAGTAGCCTTAGATAGCACTTTCAATTATTCCAGGGTATGCCAAGCACAGTGGCTCAGTGATTAATGCCATTCCTTATAAAACTGGGGTACTTCGTGTTAATAGAGCATGGTTTGATTTACTAAATTCAACAAGGCTGTTCACTTTGCAAAGGGGTTTTCGCTTTGCAAGGGAATTTCAACTTATCTTATTAGTGAATAAGGTGAATCTCAGATGACTTCTATTATGCACTCACATGCAAGCAAAAAAAATAAATAATTTTTATATATTCATTTAACATGATTGGGTATTCAATGCAAAGTGGATTTTCACCGCATTTTCTAAGCTAAGGGGAAATTTTTTTGCAAAGTAAACATTGCTCTTAAACCTATCTCCCCCACCTCCTTTCAAAATCAGCCCCCTTGTTTTTGTGTTAGTCTTTTCAAGGATTTATAGCTTTGCATTTCAAGGATTTATAGCTTTGCATTTCAAACCATGATAACCAGGGCATCCAAGAAAAATACAAACGAATGCCTCATTGTATAGCACCACAAAATATGTAGCTTTTAATTTTTAAATTAGTAAAAATACTACAAATCATTTTTAGTTCTTTTGATGATTTCTAGGAAAATAGGCAAACAAACCTATATTTAATGGCAGGATTCCCCAAACCATAACTTGTACTTCTTACTGTATGTGGTGCTTAGTTCCCTAATATTGCTAGTGCGACCCTACAAGGTGTGTTGCATCCATGTAAAATCTTCAGCATCATCTAAACACACAATAAAAACATAATAACAGATTGTATGTATTTTCATATTATTCATAATGTTGAGCATTTGATTATAATTTTTACTATTATTTTAATCAAAATTGTGCTTTTAAACTTTTTTCATGCATTAGGTGTATACCATAAGAGCCTGTTGCTTTATGCAGCTTTATTAAGATGGTATAAACTTTAATAAGAGTTTTTCAGCATATATTCTTTTTGGGGTGTTTTATTTTGACAATGAAAAAAAAAATTGCAGATAAAGTAACATTAAAAAATTAAAAAGGGATAACACTTACCTCTTCTATGCAATATTTCACAGAAACCATGCTGTCCTCTTCCTGCACCCACTGGGGTGGTAGGCTCTTCTTGTCCTTTGGGTACCTTTACTAGCAAGTGGGGTGTTAAGGAGGCACCTGTATATGCACTCTCCTTTGGGGTCCCACGGCTGTCCATAGACACACACAGTGCCGGTAAGCTGTGTCCCGCTCTCTCCACACAGATGTTGGCTCTGCTACATTTAGTTTCTCTTGTGAATCCAGGAACTGAGGGGAGCAACAATGGTGCTACAGTCAGCATTGGAAAGGTGACATAGAGCAAAGTAAATGTTTAAGTATGAAGGAAGTAGAACAGGTTGTGGAGTGTTTTTTTATCTTATTGTAGGAATGCATTAAGGTAAAAAAAAACATTTAGACTTTATTACTACTTTAAGAATTAAGGATAAGGCTTTTGAGGCCTACAAAAATGAAAAAATGGTGCCTGAATGGCAGTCATCTTCAGGTACCTGAATGTACCATTCTGAAATTCACAAAACCAGGGTGTACTGCTATAAAAATTGATACCAGCATGTACTAACTCCTCCCCCATCCCCCACCCCTGTACATCACTACTGGCCTCTAAATGTTATGGGAATTCACTGTTCAATAGATAAGTGCTGGGTGGGTCAGAGTGCTTCTCTTGTGCACCTTCTATGCACAGGATACTTCCTTGAACATTTTATTATTAACAAAAAACCAAAGTAGCAACTAGATATCAGTTGGGAATTTAAACACGATCCACCCCTGAATACATCCTTTTTTTAATAAATTGTTCCACGGGTGCTATTGTGTCTGAAGCTGGGCAGATAAAGTAATCTTCACCTCCTCCTTATCTTAGCTCACGGTCAGCCATTATATTTGAATGTAGCTAATAATCTAACACAAAGGACCTCTATTTAAGTGAATGCAGTCTATCAATTCAGTGGGAACAAATGTGCTGAAAGAGCTGAAAGGTCAATATTGCTTTAGTTAAAAAATGAATGTCCACAGTGTATGAAGAAAGATTTACATACTGTGTACCCATATGATTTTATCATATTATTCCGTAATTACCCTGTTTCATTGTGTTCTGGGTAATATCATCCATAATAGGAGACAAAAGGCTATGAAAGGTCAGAATAAAAAATACTTTTTGACTTGGTCTTCAGCAACTAGTTATTTCTGGATACCAGGGTATCGGGTGTTTATATTGAAATGGAAAGTAGTAATATGAATATTCTGATTGACAGAATTAAAAGTAGGAATGAGTAGAAAGGCTTCTGAAAAATTTGTTATTAAAGATGCGCACTGATCTAGAAAAGGAAAGGAGGGTGTGCAGGGGCAGACTGACCATTTGGAAACTCGGGAACTGCCCGAGGGCCCGAGGTCAATAGGGGGCACCATGAGATGCCCCTGGTACCTTTTTCATAGGCTTTTTTGAGTTTGGGCAAGGACACAGGGGCCCCATGATCCCCTATTGCCCAGGGGCCCCATGAGTTGTCAGTTCACCCCTGAGGGTGTGACAACTGGGACCCTAATGAACAAAATGTAATATGCTATGTGTGATGAGGCAGAAATATACCTGTGCCATGTTGTTTCATGACACAGGTATATCGATGATATCCTTAATCTGTGGTCAGAAGCAACTGATTCAGAGTATACCAATGGGCCAATACCTGAAACTTGGGCACAACTGTGCAAACATGATTGATTTTGAAACATGAAACAAAATAACTTTAAATACATCTGCAATGAGCATATATATACAGTATACAGACAAAGGCTAGCTCCTGGGATTTATTTTTATATCAGTACTCAGGGGCAGACTGACCATTTGGAAACTCAGGCACTGCACGAGGGCCCGGGGTGAGTAGGGGGCCCCATGAGATGCCCCTAGTACCTTTTTCTTAGGATTTTTTTGGGTTTGGGCAAGGACACAGGGGCCCCATGATCCCCTATTGCCCGGAGACCCCATGAGTTTTCAGTCCACCCCTGTCAGTACCATTATCCTAAAAGTCTCAATATAACCTACATCAGTTCTGTAGTCAAGCCTCTCTAGTTTTGTTGATGAGATGCCAGGCATTATTTTTAGAAAAAGTTGCTCAATGCATAATAAGCTAGTGCCTAGTCCAGACATGACAAATGAGACCAAATGAGACATCCTTCTACATGGGATATTCAAATGTGGATCAGGCCCCTACTATCAATTTATACAGGAAGGGACAGTTTATTGGTTACTGAATGGCAAAACTACAGTATAAGTCTCAACATTTTGTAATTGTAAAACAGCTGGTGTTTCCTGTTTAATGACAAACAAATGTGAAGCATACTATGTAGGGAAAACTGCAAAGAATTTATGATCAAACTTACACTATAGGTAATAGAAATTTGTAAGCACCAAGAGCACGACAGTTTGCCAGGTTTCATAATTATCAGACAGATGGATTACGATTTATGGTGCTAGATTCAATCCATCAAAATGTAAAGGGTGTGAACCTTGACAAGCAAGTTTTACAGCATGAGAATACATGGATAAATGACCCTAGTGCCACTGTAACACCTGGTTTGAGAGATAAATTAAGCTTTACACCATATGTAGACTAAAAGGGTTGTATCACCCTTTACAATGAATAGAATGCTTATGCTAACATTAACTAAGATGGCAAGTGATGATGGTATAGACCGGGTGTCGGCAACCCGCGGCTCCGGAGCCGCATGCGGCTCTTTTTCACCTTTCCTGCGGCTCCGGAGCACACTGCCCACCAGGTGACAGGCAATAGGGTCGGCAAGCCGCGGCTCTTTTAATGCAGCTCTTTGTGCCCTTTAGTGCCACTGTAGTACACCTGGTTTGAGAGATATAATTAAGCTTTTATCACTCCTGATGTAGAACTCTGTAAAAGGGTTGTATCCCCCTGACATTGAATAGAATGTTTATTTGCTATCATTAATCTAGGGCGCCTGCTGGCAAACATTGGCTGTCAGGATGTAGGCGGGGCAGCGTGACGAACTCCTCTCCTCTCACAGTCCGCCCTGAAGACCAGAACGGCGCGGGAACACAGCGAGAGGAACGCGCGGAGCAAAGGTAAGTGAATTGACACAATATGGGGAATGAATTACTATATGGGGGATGAATTACTATGGGGGATGAATTACTATGGGGGATGAATTACTATATGGGGGATGAATTACTATGGGGGATGAATTACTATGGGGGATGAATTACTATGGGGGATGAATTACTATGGGGGATGAATTACTATATGGGGGATGAATTACTATGGGGGATGAATTACTATGGGGGATGAATTACTATATGGGGGATGAATTTCTATATGGGGGATGAATTACTATGGGGGATGAATTACTATATGGGGGATGAATTACTATGGGGGATGAATTACTATATGGGGGATTAATTACTATGGGGGATGAATTACTATATGGGGGATGAATTACTATGGGGGATGAATTACTATATGGGGGATGAATTACTATGGGGGATGAATTACTATATGGGGGATGAATTATTATAGGGGGGATGAATTACTATAGGGGGGATGAATTACTATATGGGGGATGAATTACTATATGGGGGATTAATTACTATGGGGGATGAATTACTATATGGGGGATGAATTACTATAGGGGGGATGGATTACTATGGGGGATGAATTACTATGGGGGATGAATTACTATATGGGGGATGAATTACTATAAGGGGGATGTATTTTCAGTTTTAAAAATGTTTCTCTCAAAATAAATTTCAATCGTGGTTTTGGCAAGATTTGGCTCAATCAATTGAAAAAAAAAGGTTGCCCACCACTGACCTAAGGCTATTAAGGCTATGATTGTGATTATGACGATACACTGTGGCCCTGATTAACCCTTTGCTTACTGGGCCCTTAAACCCCCTTCATGACCAGAGCGCTTTTTGCAATATATGCAGTGTGGGATTTGTTTTAAATGTTGCAATGGTTTTGCGGCTCCCAGTCTTTTTTTCCCTCTCAGAAACGGGTCCAAGTGGCTCTTTATGTCTTAAAGGTTGCAGACCCCTGGTATAGACCATTCCTTATTTTATTCCACATTGTTGGTTTTGCCTAGAAGTACAAATTAGACTGAGACCAGGGATAGATTATGGTAGTCAATGCTGCTTTTCAACCTTTAATTCAATGTTTTAATTGCTAGTTTGCATTGTTTTATTGAATTTGACCATATTTGGACAATGACATCAGGGAACTTTTGTTTTATTTTTAAGGTTGTCAAAAAGTGTCCGTGTTTTTATATACAGTTTTCATTTATTTTTTAAATTAGTACTGGTACCATGTGCCCCGTTCTCATTCACATAGGGGGTGGTCAGTATCTGGGGGGGCCTCCTACTGTTAAAGAGAGCTTTCAGGTTCTAATAAGCCTTTGCTCACAGATTCCCAAAACTGCAAGGACAGGTGGCTTGTACTCATAGATATGGGGACAAGGTACTTTGCAAGGGGATTCCCCCTAGTAAGGTACCCCCCAGTGGCGGACTGACAACTCATGGGGCCCCCGGGCAATAGGGGATCATGGGGCCCCTGTGTCCTTGCCCAAAGTCAAAAAAGCCTATGAAAAAGGTACCAGGGGCATCTCATGGGGCCCCCTTCTGACCCTGGGCCCTCAGGCAGTGCCCGAGTTTCCAAATGGTCAGTCCGCCCCTGGTACCCCCCCCCCCCCCCCCCCCCCCATGTTGAGGGCATGTCGCCTGTTACAGTTCAAAAGGAGGATTCGGGTATGCATTTTAGTGGAGACCCAACTTTTTTGTTGTTATTGTGTAGGGCCCCCCCTTCAGTCTGATATGGAATTGGCCCCATACTAAATTTTTTTTTTCGTATGTGTGGGTTCCCCTATTTACATCTACTTCAGCCCTCAGCTAGGATAAGACTCTGGTATAGATGAACAGAATAATGGATGTCTTTTCAGTTTTGCATACATCATACAGATGCATTTCACAGCCAGAGCATCCCCCAGACAAATTATTTAAAGAATTTAGCATTTTTAATGATGTCCTGCTAATATCAAAATCACTGCTCTGACAAATTGATTTTTTTATGTTTGCTTTTGTACATGTTCCACCACTCATATAATTTGTTTGACAATCCCTTGCCTATAAGCCTAGAAAATGGTCATTACCATTTTTTTAACATTCAACTCACATTGACCTGAAATGTAATAATGTTCATCAAACCAAAAACCAGGTATGTTCGACTACCCCTACTGAGCAGGGGGGGAATGTCAGAGCTCTTCAAAGAACCCACTGCTTCCACACCAGGAGCAAGGAAAACTTTACAACAACTTTTGGTTCGATGCACCTAGAATGCATTTGAAAGTTAAATTGAAAGTTACCTTGGGCTTTACATTTCCAATATAATTTTGTTTGATCTACCCAAGAAACACATCTAATAAAAAATTTTAGTTTGGCTTTTATGAACATTGCATAATTGATTCAATTTGATTCAATAAATAAGAGCTGCACAGTGGTTAAAGTCAATTCAAATGAATACTGAAACATGCAAATATATATTGACTAAGCAAAAAAAAAATGGAAAAAAAAAACATTATTTGTCAGAAAGTTCTTGTCATTGGCATTTCAGGTAAGATGGCTTTTCATAATAATTGAATGCAGTCATTTTTTTGCCACTATGTTTTTATACAGAAGTTTCTTTAGGGACTATTGTGATGGGGTAACATGCATGTTGGTGTGAATCAGTGCCATTTATTCTAAATGGCACTCAAACGCACCTTGCCAACTGACATGCATTGTTGCACAACATAAGGCAACACACTAACATGCTGTCAAAAATGCTATATGTACATTTTCAATGCATTTTGGTGATCATCTCCCTTTATCAACTTAAATGAGCAAATAAATGAAGACTCAAAACCAAATTAAAGACCTGGCATTTTCTTGGCATAGCAATTTGAATTGGATTATGGAAATTATTATGTTAATCTGTACTGAAGGATGTCTATATTAAGAGGAGGACCATAATGAGTGAGGGGTCTGTGCCAAGGGAAGTGGTCTTTATGGGAGGGTCTATAATGAGGAGGTGGGCTGGAAGGGTGTCTCTATTGAGGAAGGGGGGTCTAGAGTTAGAGGGGGTCTATAGCGAGAGAGGGGTCTGTACTGAGGAAGGTATTCTGTACTGAGGAGAAGGTCTGAGAGAGAGGGGTCTGTACTAATGAAATGAGTCATTTCCTTTTTCCCCATTTCTATGGGCCAAATTATGATCCTGCACACAGTCCCGCTGATTTCATAAAATGCCCCTGAATATCAGTTGCAAGAAAAGTGTAGGTGAATAAGATCTTTTTCCATGTTGGAGTAAATTATGTTGCACATTCAAATCTGCAACAAATTCATTTATACATTTCGAAAAGTTACATGAATCTGTCATAATCTGCACAATTCTTCCATGGGCGGGAGACAGATTTCTAATGAGCGTCTACAACACTTTTTATGAATTATATTTTGTATAAATGCATCTACATGTGATAGTATTTGATGATTAAATTTGTTTGAATTTTATACTCCTCTGTCTATATTTTTACCCACATTTATATGCTGATGCTCATCAGTGAAGCTGACAACCAAAATGACAATGGCAGGGTTTAGGCAAACTGCAACATCGCCAGTGGTCGAAGCAACAGTTTAATTTTATTTTAGAGAGGGAATAACATGAAAACATGGGAATAAAAGGTGACCATTGTAAGTCTGCTAGTGTTACAGTTTACCTCATCACTCTCATATTTTGTGGACATTCTTAGCTCAGAACAAAACGAACCAGCTGGAACAAAGTGAACCATTCTGCCTCCAGTAGGGGCAAAATTAAATTCGGCCACTAGATGGAGCCGGTAATAAATGTATTGTTTTACAAAAACTTGAGACTGTGACTTGAGACAGATAAGGTTAAGAGTTAATAAAAATACCCATAATTCTGAGAGAAAAGGCATAGATGCTCCATGGGAAATCAGACTCCATCTTAGAGACTGGGAGAGCAGGAGCTAGCTATCAGAGCACGTGTGAAACTTGCATCCTTTTGCATCCCCTAATGGGAGCATCGCAGGTGAGAATTGTCACGATCTCACGGTCGCCGCCACCAACATGAGACAAACGCACGACCGCGACTAATAGTAATACGTCACGCCCACGGCGTCAGACCCCAGACCTTCTCACCAACTCATGACCGAAGGACCGGCCGATCTAAAACCGCAGTGTGACACGCGTAACAAGGCCCCACCCAGCTGCACCCTGCACAGCGATTGTCCAGCTAATGGGCTACAATCGGTGCCTGCAGCCTGAATGCGCTTGTTACTGGGTTGGGTTAATTACGCAACTAACCCTCTACTGCCACCACCACTTTTGTCGGAGACTGGGAAACTCCGGTTATCAAATATACACTATAATGATTGAAAAGTCGCCTGTCCAATACGGTAATCGCAGGCCGATTGGGCAGAGGATTAAACAAACACAGTAGCGTCTCTTCAAAGGCAGGAATTTGTGAATTGCAAGTAAGCATTTAGAAACAGTTTAACACTTTCAGAAAGAAAGATTTATTATTAAAAGAGTCAAACAGGTGCAATAAAATATTTACAAAGAAAATGTAACTATATATATAGGCATATAAAGGTACAGCAAAGAGATAATAGGAAGGACGTTAAAGGGTTAAGTTACTTGCCAATATGCCTTGGTTTGTAAGCAGATCCAAGTGCAGAGCAGGAAGGGTCTTTGATCTCCTCTGTTACGATGTTAAACTCAGGAGATGTGCTTTTCTTCTTAGCTTACCAGCCTGTCTCTTTTTTTAAAATCCCTCTGCAAGGGGGGGTGGCTCTGAATACTGGCCATTACGCTGTTTTGGAAGGGGACAGAAGAACTCTGAATTAGAACCAACATCTGTCATAATCCATGACATGAATCATAGGGGGAAAAAAAACCTGACTTGAGGAATATTCATTTCATTCTGACATCTTTACTGTTAGGTTCTGTGAGGTTTCAACTTCTTTCAAGTCCGGGGAGAAGCTGCCTTATCTGTTTTATGATGGGTGAGCCTACACAAGGTCTGGGATCAGTGCTTCCCAATGCTCTGATGAGCTGGCCTTATCATGATTTTAGGTGAGAAAGGTTACACTTTCGCAGACTGCCTGGCACCGGACTGAGGATGCCTTAACTTGGGTTGACCCCCCCATCTGTCAGGATATAAGGTTTGCCTCTCAGGAAGGGAGGGGGTAGGGACTGTAGGACTGAGAAATACTTCCAATAAAAAGAAAAGGAAAAGGGGAACTCCGCGTCCAACTCTGATGAGCAAGTTTGCTACAAGAATCACTAATCGTCATCTATAGCCTAACTATTCATTGTGTTTTCTGTACATTCTTACATTGTTTGTATGTATTTCTCATCTGTTTTTTCCTAATATTTTCACCCACCTTGTTTTGTTAATAAAGCTTCAAGATTATATTCAGTCTGGCTTATGGCAGAATAGAATGGTTTAGCTGCATGTTGAGCTACACACAGGGAAATGTGTAGTGAGGACAGAACATGAACCATCCACTGGACTTTTTCACTCCAACAATATTTTAACATTACAAACTGCTCACAGATTTGTAGATTTTTAATTAGTCACCCCAGAACTCTAAAGTACCTCTGCAGCAGAGGCGGACTGACCATTCAAGCACTTGGCACTGCCCGAGGGCCCGGGGTCAGTAAGGGGGCCCCATGAAATGCCCCTGCTGCCTTTTTATAGGCTTTTTTGGGTGTGCTTTTAGTGTGGGCAAGGACACAGGGGCCCCATGATCCCCTATTGTCCGGGGGCCCCATGAGTTGTCAGTCCGCCCCTGCTCTGCAGATTAGTTCTGTGAAACCTTTATGTGTATTCAGTAAGGCATTCACTTTAGTATGTGACAACCATTATTCAGGCAAAGCTTTAAAATAAAGAAAATCAATCTCAACAAGCAGATGTTAAGTTAAATGTGCACTTCTATTACATCTAAGCAGCCTTTCTCAACCTTTTTACCCTAGAGGAGTCCTTGAAACAATATTCATATCATAGGGAACCCCTGCAAAAACAAATTCATATGAGATCACTGGGAAAAATGTCACGATGATAGTCAGAATGCCACACTTACAGACAGCTCAAAAAAAGATATTTGGTGTCATGCAGCTGACTTTTTCCCAGGAATTATGCAAACACCATCAAATAGGATAACAACCAGCCATAACTAGAGTAAACTTAGTTGAGAATGACTACATTGAAGTAACCTTTTATTTCCATTGTTATAGAAACCCCTTCCAAATATGAAATATTCAGCTAATAAACCACTTACTAACAAATAGAGAATAAAAACACTACTCCAGTCTGTCCTCCAAAACTGCCCCCTTGGGTGCTACCAGCTTGCCTCTTTTATTGTAGTATAGGGAAGGGTACAGCCAGGCTGTCAGTTACATCATGCATTTTAAAGACACCTTTGCCCTATCTTTGACAGACATGTTCCACTGATTTCTGAAAGGCAGTTTACACACATCAGTGGTTAGAAATGAAAGTGAAGGCTTAGTTATTGACTTTTGAAAAAAAAAGTCAAAATTGGCGTAGTAGCAGAAGCTTTGTTTAGTCTGCTAAGATCAAGCATTTTAAAAAAGAAATAAGGCATATAATTTAGTTAATGTAAACTTTTATGAATACCAATATGTTTGTGTGCTTGGAGGGAATAGGAAGGTTCATTGTAAGTCTAAATATTCTGAAACAAAGTTGCCATGTGCAGTGATTTTATTAAAGCAACTCTGTAGCTAAATTTAAGTGCTAATAAATCTGTTCCCTGCAAAGAGGATAGTACATACTTACATTTTTCCTTTGCTGAATGTCGCTGTAATTAAGTTTCTTCAGAAACACAATTCTAGCTGTTCTGTAGTGACATTGGGGTTGGTGGAAGGAACCAGTAAGTGCATCAGGATTCCATTCGTTCAACACCCCTGGAAATGTCAGTTTCTGAGAAAAAAAAAAATTGCAGAGAATAGATATACTGGCATTGATTTCAACAACAGAGTCCTTTTAACTGCACAAAATATGATGCTACAGCACATTAACTGAGTTTATAAACTTTTCCATCCAAATTTATAATTTCTCATCTTATGTTTTACAAATGTGATCCAGTAATCTCCAAAGGCAGCAAAAGATACAAGCTCTGCAACTGTGAAAGCCAAAATTGTACAGAAGTCTTCAAAATTATTTTATCTCTTTTTATTTCTACTGTCCAAAATTATAAAAGAAAAATCATATGCTACATTTAGATAATTAGTATAGTTGTTATTCATTTAAAATGCATTTATGTAATTAGCCGTCTGACTTATGCACAGTATATTAGGATAAGAAAGTCTTTTATCTTTTTATTTGAACTTTTTAAAAATTAGCATTTTGATGCCTGCTATGTTTTCTTTTCATTGGAATGCTTGAAGAAGTAATGTTTTTTATATTTGTTTCCTGGACATGGACAAAAAAATAATCAGCAGGGAATATGATATTGCTACGCATACTGCAGGAATATAACTACAAGCCAATAGAGCCTTCAATTCCAAGAGAAAATATTAGTTAAATAACAAAATTATTCTTCAGGATAAAAGCTGGAATGATATCCATGCAGAGCTGGAGATACATAAGCCGTTTTCTCACCAAGAACAGGCTGGTCTATGCCCATTGTGCTGGAACCCACTGGGGTTGTTTTACTAAAGTAGTACAGGATGTTCCCATTAAAAGTGAATGTTGCTGAATAAGAAAAATATATATATAGCAAACATCCGCTCAGGTCAAGAACATAAAAGGAAATCTGCTTGTACTGTATTCTGATACTAAATACTGCAATATATATATATATATATATATATATATATATAAAAACACGTGCTGCTCTAACCATACAAAGCACTGTGAAAACATTGCAAAATAATGCATGTGACTGTGCAAAGTATGCTAGTTCTAATCTGTTGTTGCGCACATATTAAACATCTATACTGTGAATGAGTGACCAATAAGTGAAAACAAGTGTAAACAACGTGTACATTATGGAAATGCATAAGATCAATGAAATGGAAAAATACAATCACGCGCTTAATAATAACAGGTGGTGACATGTACATTTTCAAACAGTCCATCTAGATCTTCAAAGTTCTAGTTCAGGGTTCTCCAAACTTTCTAAACAAAGGGCTGGTTTACTGTCCTTCAGACTTTAGGAGGGCCGAAGTGGCAAGTGTGAGTAGAAAATGTCCCAGCGTCAGTAGGAGTTAAAAAAATTACATAGTGCAAGTAGTCAGTGGAAGGAGAAATAGTGTCAATTCATTGGTATTAGTTGGAGGAACAGTGCCCCATCATTGGTGTCAGTGGGATGAATAGTGCCCCATCGTTGGTGACAGTGGGAGGAATAGTGCCCCATCATTGGTGTCAGTGGGAGGAATAGTGCCCCATCACTGGGGCCAGTGGGAGGAATAGTGCCCAATCACTGGTGTCAGTGGGATGAAGAGTGCCCCATCATTGATATCAGAGAAAGGAATCGTGTCCCATCCTTGGTATTAGTTGGAGGAATAGTACCTAATTGTTTATATCAGTGGGAGGAATTGTGCCCCATCATTGATGTCAGTGGAAGGAAAAATACCCCATAGTTGGTGCCAGTGAAAGAAATGGTGCATCCTTGTTGGTATCAGTGGGAGGAATAGTACCCCGATGGCCAGATAGAGACAAGCAAAGGGCCGCATTTGGAGACCACTGTTCTAGTGCAAAGATCCATTGCCAGACAAAGAATAACCATAAGTGCAGCTCACCAACAGTATACACACAGGCTGCTTACCAGTGCTCAGATGAACTTAAGATCTTAAAAGGGCATCCAATGAGATCAGGCTGAAAGGGCAGTGCTGTCCGTGAGAAATCATTGAAGGTTCCCTAAAATACATGATGTGTCACAAATAGAGATAAAAACATAAGGGAAAACACCTCCAATAGTGTAAAACCGCACAAACCTTTTTATTAAAATCAGGTAAAAAAAAAAACCTCACATTACACAAAGAAAAATATGAATAATAAAAAGAATACAAAATATGAAAGGAAAAATAGCACTGGCCCCACAGGGTTTTCTCACTGGTATTGCTATCTTGAAGTATTGTTTTTGATGTAAATGATTTGGTTCCCAAGCAGGTAGCTTCTACACCCCAGAGGATCTCTATGGTCTCATTAGATTGCAGTATAATGTAATAAAAATGAAAATTGAAGCATTACACCACTGCTAAGAGGTCCAGATACAACTTTATTCCAGTAAAAGTCAGGTGAGCAACCCAAAAAATATTTCAGGGATCCAGGAGGGGTCCAAACCAACTGCTGACAAGGTCTCTGCTTGCAATAACATTAAATGAAAAGTCCAATTTACTTCTAGTCTATTAATTTTGTTGTCAATCAAGCCCTAATGAAAGGTCCATAAGCTACTTAACCTTTTTCTATTAACTGTTTACACTGCTTAAAAGACAGAAGGAAAAAAAAATAGTAACATTCTATGAATCTGTTCAAATATGGTGTGAAGTTTAACAATAAACTTGAAGCTCATCCACAGCTTTTAATCTTATGGTGTTTTTAATGTAATATGAGGTCCCTGCTTTCATTTTTCACTGCATACTGATAAGCTATAATAAGGTCTATAAATCACAGCAGCTTGCTTTTGCAGAATCCATTTCAAGGCTATGGACTATTCTCTCTCTTTAGAATCACAGCCACAAATTATCCAGGGATAATGCTTTCACTTGTAAAGGGACAGATCTGTTGATGTATACTAAACTTCTCACAACATTTGCTGCAATGTGAATGTTTAAGGAAATAATAAATTATACATTTACATCTATTTTTGTCAATAGTGGATTACAATAGTGGCAACTGAAGTGCTAGACCAATCCATTTTACATACTAAACCTCATTCATTGTTTGTTTGTGTACAGAGATAACATATCAAACAGAAATTTATAGATGGAAAAATACTTATACACAGGATTTGTTTTCTCAGAAAATAGGTGCAGGAACTCCCCCTTTCCAAGTCACCCTGTGTGTCCACCCCCTACCCGCCAGCATCATTCCTGGGTCATACCCCTCATCCCCCTCCCAGTGCAGCTCCTTTTAGAAAATACAGAACCAAGTATCATTTTGTGTTGTTAAGCAGTTTGTATGGAATTTGCTACTGATAATAAGAAAGGCAGTAGAATAGATGCAACAATAGGTCCACCCCAGCAACAATAGACCCCCAACAGCCAGCATCAATAGATCCTCCAGCAGCCAACAACAATAGACTCCTCTCTCAACGGTAGATCCCTCCCAGAAATTATTGACCCCCCCAGCATCATAAGACTTACCCCCAGCAGCAAAAGATCCCCCAACAGTAGCACTAGTCCTCCTCAGCAGCAATAGACCCCCTGGCAAAAATATATCCTCTCCAGTAACAATAGATCCACCAACAGCCTTCATCAAAAGACCCTCCAGCACCCCTTGCGATTACATACATTAAGTGCTGGAGGTGCCGGAACAGCGTTTCTCTGTGTTCCTGCTGAAAAAAGCCCTGCTTATACATGAAAGTGTACCTGTCATTGTGCTTGTAAGGGATCTGGATTGGACAGTGGTTCATACCAAGCTGTCCCAGGGCCTTCTTCTTCTTCACATGAGATAGTTACATACCTTTCTTTAGGGAGGCACTTTGCGATTTTATGTCACTCACGCTCTTGGCCTGAGGCCTGCCTTTCCACATATTCCCAGCTTGAGTATGATTACCCAAAATAAAGAATGTACAGTCCAAGAGCATTTTCAATACTTTACTGCACCAAGTCAGGCACATTCAAAAATACATCTTCTCCATCGTACACAGTCATAGTGCAGAATACTCTA